AATCCTCTGGATTAAAGCAATATGCTACATTTTAAAATGTTAAAACATTCAAAAAGACGTGTAAGGACAAAGAATTTCATTAAGTGCAATAAAATATTGTTAGTTAATATTAGAGGTATTTATAAACTTTACTAGCTTTTCAGTTTTAGCATAATCAACAGGTAATTTTTCTTTGAAATCTTTAATCTTATTCAATGAAGAACAAGAATCGAGAAGTAATTTGCAAATGTCCATATTCTGAGACTCAGCTGCTCTATGAAGTGCTGTTTTACCATCATTGTCTTGTAATTCACAATTTGCCTTTTTTTCCATAAGATATTTAACAACAGTTATTTTACCTACAACAAGATAAAAACATGTGAAAATATTTAATCAGCATGGTGGTAGCTAGATTTTTTTCCAGGGGGAGGGGGCAGATTTTCAATAGCTGTAGGTTTATACAGATTTAATGTGTTTCCTTTGTATGTTTTTAAATTTCGTACTGATGTGACTCATCAGAACTTTTTCCAGAGTTGGTAATGAACTTGCAAGGGGGGGCTAATTGCTTACCTATCTACACCCATGTCAATTAGCATATTAAAACTATTTAATAAGTTAATAATCAAAAAGTTCAAGTAAAATCCTTAAAGTGTCAAAAAATACATTTGCACAATTTTATATTCAAAAAAGATAAAATAAATGACATGTTTTCATTTAGATGCATATATTTTAATAAACTAGTTAATTTTTTAAACAATTGTAATTTTCAGTAAAAAATTTATTGGCTTGAATATCACAATTATCATATAAATAGAAATGAAGTAAAATTAATGTAATTTTTGAAATAGAACACTTTGGGATGGAAGTAAAAAACCTACTATAAGACAGATTTTTCAGTAGAGGCGATTGAAAACTATATCTGAGGGAATAATTAAAACATTTTTAGAACTTCTTGTATGCACAAAAATGATCAACTACTTGTACATAAAGAAGATATAGTAAACATAATATTATATCAGCATTTAGTATGACTATTAAACGATTACAACACCACATACCCATATGAGATTAAGAAAAGGGTATGTAGCATCTTTTTAGGCACACACTTAATCTCACTAAACAGCCTCAACAATAATGTAAGCTGTGCTGTTTTTTTGTACTGCAAACGCATAAAATTATAAGTAGAAAGTGAACTTTCAAGTAGTTTTTACCACAATAAAATTTAAAATATGGCATACATACTTATATACATACTATTGTTCTTTCAAGGAGAAAAGTTTCGAAACAATACATTAAATGATGACTGACAAATGTAGCACAATATACCAAAAATATATACCCGACGTGTTGAACTAAAACAACTTTTACTTTTAAAGAAAGATGATAAGCACAGCCTTTACAAATAAAAAAAAGTGGATTTAAAATAACTAAACACTTTAAAGCCATAATTAAATGTTGTTAACGCCCATGCTTTTTAGTTTTTCTTTTAGTTTTACTATTTCTAATTCTTTTTCGGCTAGTTTATCTTTTAGTTCCTGAATAAGACCAGATTCACCGTCGTCAGTGTGAAGACTTTTCAAAACAAAGGTGGCATCAGGTCTGTGTTCAGGATGCCGTTTCACAAGCTGTTTAATTATTGATGCAATCTGTGGATAGTGCGATAAAGTGTGGTCTGAAAGGTGTCCTTTTCGGAGATCTGTTATTGTATGAACTCTTTCCATGTCAGTATTAAAGGTTTCTACCAATTCTAACAAAACAATTCCCACTGAATACATATCACTCTGAAAAATAGATTTATATATACATATTTCTTTTATTTTCAAAATGAAGTATTTTTTAAAAAAACTACGATTAATCTTCATCAGCTTATCATCACACAACTTGAAAGTTAGTACGGATGCTTAAACAAACCGGATGATTTGTGTCCAATGTATAGCTATAACGCTTTTGCATGACAATATTTACAGGCGGTGATTAAAATCAATAAAAAAGAATTCATTTGTTATGTATGAGTCACGTAATGGTCAAGCAAAAAAAATAAAAACCACCTAAAAAATATAATCCAATATAAGTATAGTTTATATCATCGAAATAACTCTTTAAGCTCATATGCTTACAAAGCAAATCGAATTTTATACACATGAAGAGGAGGGTGTTAGGAGTGGTTTTGGCTACTTTTTAAAATTATTTATTTATTAACAATTGCATTTACTATTTTTTTCAACTACCTGTTATTTCTTCATTTGCTCAATGTATTTTTTTAAAATCAAATTATCATTAGTTAATTGATATTTAGCATACCTTTGGATCACATTTACCCATAAGTTGTTCAGGTGCAGCATACAATTTAGTTCCAAAAGCCAAAGTGTGTCTGGCATTTTGCAAGGGACATGCTAAGCCAAAATCTCCTAACTGTACCAACAAGTGTCCACTTTCATGCTGAATAAAAATATTACTAGGTTTTATATCATGATGTACAATGTTTTTTGAGTGGATGTATTCAATTCCTGAAATTACAGTCATTGTTTCATGATAATTGGCAACCTCTGGATTATATTACAAATTAAATGAAATTATACAGGTATCACAGATACCTCATTCAGTTAATAATAGTTTAAATATTGAATGTTTAATGTATCTAATGTAAATAAATAATTAAAATTTAACTAAGCAGATCTTCATTACTTTAAGTACAATATTTACCATGTAATAACTGTTTAAATATTTCTATTATCGTGTTTTGCCTTGTTTGCAGTGCATTAACAGACACCAAAGTAGATTCACTATGCTTCAATTGGTTCTCAGTTGAATTCCTTTTCTCCAGCCACTGTTTCAAAGTAGCTTGACATAAGGACATCTGAATATATAATGTGGCCCATTTTGGACGATTTTTTGCTGGAATTAAATTCTGAATCTCCTCAAGTTTACAAATTGCATTTCCTCCTTCTGAAATACTGTTTTTTTTTACTCTAGACTTCTTGAAACCATTACTTCCTGATAGTTCCCTGTTTGAATGAAATTTTCCATTTTCTTCAAAGCTAATTTCAAAGTCTGAAGAACTTTCTACTTTTTCCGGTAGATCTGCATCTGCTTCAGTCAAAATGTTGATGTGGTCATCCAAATGTTCTTGTATTTCAACTCTATTCAAAGTTATGGAATTTCCATCTATAAAAGGGTAACTATTGTCTGTTGAATCAGTTATGATGTTTTCAGTCACTGCTGCCCCCAACTCTAACCATGCTGCTTTATATTGAACTATATTGAAATGATTTAATGACGCAAATGTTTTTACTTCAGACAAGTAATTCATTATTGACTTTACACTTTCTGATTGAATAAAAATTTTTTTAATTGCATATTCTGTTCCATCCAATTTGTGTTTAACTCTGTACACCTAGGAACATAACACTTACAATACAAAATTGTTCATTAAATTAATTTTATGAAACTAACAATTGTAAAACCATAATTTTCTACTTACTTGACCAAAACCTCCTCCTGCAATATACTCTAATTCATCAAATTCTCGGTAATAATGGGACCATTCGTTAGTAACATCATTGGAAGGCCATGCAGGTTGCATGGGAGCTGATTTTTCACCTCCCCTGGCAGTAGTTACTAAATGGTATAAAGCTCTTTGATACTGGTTTCTCATACCTTCAAATTCATCCATATTGTAACTTTCATCAATTAATTTCATTTCAAATAATTTTTCACAAATCAAACTGTAAATATGCTTTGATTTTTCATTATCAGCCTCATACATATTACAGAGACTCTTAACTAAAGATTCAATGCAAATGCTAATTAGAGTTGTTGTTTTTAATGGAGCAGTAACAAGCAGTGTATCAGTAGTATCATTATCTGAGGTTTGATATAGGGGCTGCGGTTGACTTTTAGACGGTTTTGCTTTGGCTTCTGCTTGCTTGTCTTCAGAATTTACGTCTTGTGGGCCAGATTTTGCCATTTTAAAGCTTTAAACATAGTTCACATTCACCTTTTTTAAAATGTCACAAAATAAATTTTGCCATCACTTATTTTATCTAACTATCGTAAATATGGGTAGTTTACAAATTAAAATAATTTACTTGAGCAAGCACCTTTCGGGATTTCACACAAAAAAAAACTTGTTATGACTTGTTCAAACATAAGTAAAATAGTATTGTAAAATGATTTAATAAACATGATATAAACTATACTATCTTCTGATCTCATCTGTGATTTGTGCTATCTATGATTTGTGCTGTCATCTACGATCAATATTCACAGATACGAGGTCAATATGATATGAATATGATTGTGGATATAGTAGCAGGCGTCTCCTTCAAGAAAAGTAATTCCTTCCACAATTATTTACTTAAATGTTTAACTGGCTTAAAACGAGAAATATTACTGTTCTTGCTACAAAACGTTAATTATTTCTATTAGCACCTTTTTACTGAAAATTAAAAAAGTATTATTTTTAATTGAACAATTACGTGATGCTGCTGACACTACTCGTTTGTTTATGTTTATAGATTATCCCAGATTGGCCCAAATTATTGCCGCAACATAAATCGTTTATTGTTATTAATTTTGGAAACTGATATTAGAATCCATTTAATTATGGAATCTTACGAAGAACTATTGATGCAAGCAGTAGAAGAAAACGATATAAATTGTGTTAAGTTTTGTTTAGCAAAAGGTAGGTGTATCAAGCTGTGGGTTTGATTTAACTACAGAAAAATTTAAATTAAAACAGGTGCAAATCCAAATAAAATATGTTCTGTTGGGATGACCCCTATTGGAGCAGCTGCTCAGAATGGTAATCTAATGATTTTAAAATTTTTAACGGAAAGTCAAAGATCTGCATTAAATAAAAGTATTAGAAATGAAAATGCTGCATTGCATCTTGATTTGGACAACAGCAGGAAAATGAAGAACATTGGCTATTATGTAGTTTGTGATGATTTAGATAATTTAGACTTTGATAATGGACCTACCCCTGAAGGTATGGATGCTCTTGAGTGGGACATGGAAGTAACAGAAGAAAACACTGAAGAATTAGCTTCCACACCTCCAGAAGCTAGAATATATAAGTGGTATGCTGACATACTAAATAGAACAGCTGTAGTTTTGCAGTCTCCTGAAAATGACATTGCCCGATTGGATAGGTATGGTTTAAATGCTTTACATTATGCAATAAGTGAAGGGCATTACGATGTTGTTCAATATTTATTAGGTAATTGCTAATTAAAATCATTTTCATTTAAATTGCTTTCTTCTTAATTATTAGAATTTAGCTACTTAAAATAGTCAGTAGTCATTAATTCTTACCTAGTTATGGCATTTAATTACTGATAATGGTTTGTAGATAATTTCAAAGAAATTGGTGTTAATCAGAGTGATGCTAATATTGTCAGTCCCTTGCAAATAGCTGTTATTAAACAAGACATTAAAATGGTAAAAATTTTACTGCAGAAAGGTGCAAACATAAACTTTGCAAATAGACATAGAAAGACCTCTTTGCATTTGGCTGCCCAAGAGGGTAACCTCGAACTGGTCCAAGTTCTAGTTGAAAACGGTGCAAACTTAAATGCCCAGGATATTGATGAATGCACACCTTTATCTGTGGCAATATTTTGTGAACATGAAGTTATAGCAAAATACTTAATCCAGAAGGGTACCCGATTGAATTGTGAAGAGATGTGTGGACATACAGTGCTGCACAGAGCGGTTTGGAATAATATGACCAACACAGTTAAAACGCTTTTAGAAGCAGAGGCCAAAGTTATACAGAGTCATTATTTATTACACACAGCTGTTAGGAATAATAATTTAGAAATCGTAGAGGCTTTGCATAAATCAGGAGCTGCAGTAAATGTTCGAGACGAACAGGGAAACACACCACTTATTGTAGCTTGCACACATCAAACTTTCGAGATTGCCAAATACTTATTAAAAAATGGTAAGATTTTACTAATTGTCTACAATTTTCAATTGAATTGTAATTGATTTTTATAAAATAAGTTATGAAGAAGTAGGATTGAAATTCTCTACATTTCATTACATTAAATCAATGTTTTGTCTATATAATTTGGAGTTCTATAGAGCTCTCACTAATTACACATTCATTATAATTTTACAAAATGCAGCATATGTAAATAGTAAGCTTAAACATTCACAATTGAAACATACAAAATTTCTTTAACGTTATAATTGTTTATCATCTGAACTGAGAGCCCTGGAGAAAACTAAATTATTTGGAGGAAATATTGACTTATAATGAAATGCACATTGTTAAAGATCTAATTCCCAATAACTTATCTGATCATTGCACTATGAACTATAACCATTAAAATTGATTATACTGTTATTTAATTTTTAATTGAAGGTGCATCTGCAAATGTTAGGAATGAAATAAACAGTCTGACAGCTCTTCACATTTGTGTCGAACATATTCACAATAAAGACATGTTCAGAAGGTTTTTAGATTTACTTATATGTTATGGTGCAGACATTAATTCGACGTGTTACATGGGCAGCGTCTTTTTCTATTCAATTATTGCAAATGAGGCTGCTGCCTGTTTGTTGGTAAAATATGGAGCTAACGTAAATTTAAAAGAAGAAAGGGCTGTTGTTGACTATTTATCAGCAGCCAAAAAGAATCAACACAACATACTAGTAAAGTTAATAATATTAGCAGGGTTCAACTTTAATAATCTGCTATTTGATATAAAATTTTTAAAGACACAACCTGTAGACCCCTTGTATGATTATATAGTATTTACAAAATCAAATCCTTTAAGTTTAAAGGATATTTGTAGGATAAAGATAAGAGGAGTTTTAGGAAGTAATGTTATCTTAAAAATACAAAAGCTTCCTTTACCTACAGTTCTTTTACAATTCTTAGCCTTTGATGATATTTATTATTAGAGAATGTTTAGCTTGCAATACGTGATAATTTTATTATATTGTTATTTAGTTTCTGAAGACGGGGTATTTTACGAATTCGCACTTGTAATATTTGCAGTTCAATTATTAAAAAAAAGTCGCACTCTGATGATTTCATGTTTTTTATCACGCGTTTCGATAATGCCTAATTTCTTCATAAAATAAATAATACTATTTTACATTGGCGCACAATGTTCGAAAAAATAAGAACAAAAATTAGCGGTTTTTATTTTTTTGAAGTGACTACCTTTTATGCAGTAGCTTACCAAAGATGACGAACATAAGGTGTCCTACTGCTTTCCATAACTCGAAATTAGGAATTCCACTTGAGGAAAGTTAAGTGTTTTCGGGAACATCCTCAACTTCCTAATTTTTTATTCTTGTCGAGCTCTTTAAATTATATTGGGTCAATAGTTCGACAAGAATTAGTTTTAAATTTTTATGCAGAGAAATTATTCTGTGTTAAAAACATTCAACAGGCAAAATTTAATAATGATAAGGTTACAGTTTTAGTAACGTGAGTTTCATTTACTCTCTATAAATTGTATTTGCAATGCAAAAATTTATTTTGGTTTCCACACTTTTTATATTAAAAATGTGTAATATGTATCTAATTAGATGTAAGTACAGCTAATGTTTTAAAACTGAAAATATTAGAATCGATTTGAAATTAAATGAGTACACATTTTTGAATAAGCCTTTCAGTGTATTACTTTTTCAATTAAAAATATAAATAAAACATAATTTCATTAAAAATATACATATCTACATATTGATACCTGTGATAAAAACACAAAATTAACAATGCTCACTAAATTGCGCTTTTTTAATTAATAAAGTATATGACTGTGCCTATAATTAATTAATGACTAATTTAAAATCCTCTGGATTAAAGCAATATGCTACATTTTAAAATGTTAAAACATTCAAAAAGACGTGTAAGGACAAAGAATTTCATTAAGTGCAATAAAATATTGTTAGTTAATATTAGAGGTATTTATAAACTTTACTAGCTTTTCAGTTTTAGCATAATCAACAGGTAATTTTTCTTTGAAATCTTTAATCTTATTCAATGAAGAACAAGAATCGAGAAGTAATTTGCAAATGTCCATATTCTGAGACTCAGCTGCTCTATGAAGTGCTGTTTTACCATCATTGTCTTGTAATTCACAATTTGCCTTTTTTTCCATAAGATATTTAACAACAGTTATTTTACCTACAACAAGATAAAAACATGTGAAAATATTTAATCAGCATGGTGGTAGCTAGATTTTTTTCCAGGGGGAGGGGGCAGATTTTCAATAGCTGTAGGTTTATACAGATTTAATGTGTTTCCTTTGTATGTTTTTAAATTTCGTACTGATGTGACTCATCAGAACTTTTTCCAGAGTTGGTAATGAACTTGCAAGGGGGGGCTAATTGCTTACCTATCTACACCCATGTCAATTAGCATATTAAAACTATTTAATAAGTTAATAATCAAAAAGTTCAAGTAAAATCCTTAAAGTGTCAAAAAATACATTTGCACAATTTTATATTCAAAAAAGATAAAATAAATGACATGTTTTCATTTAGATGCATATATTTTTTCGCTTTTTATAAGAAATAAATAATTGATCTCCACTTCAGTTACTATTTTATAATATTCTAGTAATAAGCAGTAAAACATAATGGTCAAACATAAAGGAAAATTCTTTTTTTTTCTGTAACAATGTTAAAAGTTTAGTTTAGTAGTGGAGATAATCAGCTGTGGTGCACTTACAGCCACATGTATAAAGAAGTCGTAACATGAGGATTTCTTTTACTTTTTTTTGATATGAAACTTTAAAAATCGCTTCTCACCTGCTGAACAAGCTCTATGTAAAGCAGTAGCATTTCCAGATTTTGTTATTGCATTAATATCTGCCCCATTTTGGATTAAAAGTTGGCATACATCTAAAAAGCCGTTTCTAGCTGCATAATGAAGTGCAGTGTATCCAGCAGCATCTCGTTTATCCACATCTGTACCACTTCTTAGCAATTTTTGAACCCTTTGATGATCTCCATACTGAGCAGCATACCAAATACCTCTTTCAAACTCAAGTTCATCCAATGACTGATACACACTTGAAGCAACGGATGGTACATGGCATGCGTCGTGATTGTGCTGATGAGGATGTGACATTTTTGTTTATTGGAAAAATATTTTCTATTGTAATTTTACTTAAAAATAATCTTTAGAAAATTGTACTTTTATTTTTTTATAATAGTAGAGTATGGAATGGCTAAATATATTGCTTTTAAGAAAGAATTAAATGTCACGTTTCATAGTCCAGACTATTTCTGCTTCTCCAGTTGTGCCTAAAACAAAATCGAAAATAAGCAATCACGTAATAATACAGTAATAAACACTAATAAACTGTCACTTCACAATAGATTACAAGAATGAAACGAATTTGTAATTTTTAAATAATTTTAAAGAATATGTTACACACTTCAAATAACTGTTATGGAATTTCAATACTTTATAATGTAAAACTATTTCTGTAACGGTCTGGACCAGTTGATCTTGAAAAGACTCGCAATAAAAATATGAAACTATTTGACCTAAACAAAACCATACTTCTTTGATCATTAAATTAAAAGCAGTCAGAAATGAACTAAAACTATTAATTTCTACTTTATATTACTAACCATATGTTAATTATATATTGACAAATACAATTACATACTTTACTATTTATTTTTTGACACTGCTAAAAGGTTACCTAATCAAGTAAAAAACTTACAGACAACTTTATATCCAAGTTCTGACAATGCATTAATCAAATCAATCGGTGGAGTTTTCAGTAGTATTCCATTAATAACTTCTTTTTTATAATCTTCAAAGCGTTTGGCTAATGCTATCTCTTCTTCATCATTCAATCCAAATACGGCAGTATCAGACGAATGAAGCGAAGCTTTAACTGCTATATAATAAGAGTGAGTTCCAGAAGACATTACAATCTTTGCAGGAATCTCCATTGGCTGACTTTGGAGTAGATGTAAATCAAATATTCCTGTCTTTCAATGACAATAGTTACTTAGAATACACTAGCTTTTGAATTTGATTCTTGTTCAAGTGGGTCTGGTTCAGAAAACTCTCTTCGCATAGTCCACATATATTCGTTGTAATCTTGTTTAACACTCGTTGAAGAGGATGCAACAACTCTATATCCCAAAACTTCAAGAGCCGTCAAAATTACACAAGGATGTTGCATGTATACTATCGTAGAGTCGTCACAATAACCACCTGATGCAAATCTATTTAACTGTTCAATATCAGTTGGTTTTAAACCTGAGACTAATACACGCCAAGGTGATTTATTTCCATAAGATGCGAGATTACCGCGGACTAAAATGTAAGGCATTTGCCGTTATCTTTTTCTTATCTATACTTTTAATTTCTTATCATTTCAAGCATTAGTGTTTAATTTTTGTCACAATGACCCTACAATATACGTCGAGTAAGGGCGTTATCAAGAAGTGCTTGCTTTTAGTATTCTTCTCCTAATTAAAAAATAAATATAGGTATAAAAATGGAATTTTTTCAACACATGTAACTTACTTTGAAGATATTTAAATTGTAGTAAAATCACACTGAACAGCAAAAAAATATGTAAACAGTTTAAATATTTACGATACATAATAGAAAAAATGATACAAAAATTCCTACACACGTCATCTTTATTTACAAAATTACAAATCCCGTCAAATCAATAGATAATAGTCAAATCCTTGCCAAGTCCCGTGAAGTTGCAACAATGCATAAAATATAAAATGAGTAATTTAGATCTAACTTCAAAGAATAGAACATGTCTATGGTAAAAAAATGAACCAAATCCAATGTTGTTATATTAATTAATAATAGTACTTATATTTCAATACTTTTGTCGTACAAAAGACTTATCTTAAAAAATAAATAATTAAGCAAATTTTATTGACTGAACCAAATTGACCGCAACATTTTACGCTAGCAATTTTGGTGACTAGTATCGTCATATTACTCTTAGAGCATGTGTTACTTAACTCTCAAATGGTATTGCAGATTGCGTTTTTAATTATTTTGTAGTCATTTATCTAATAGAATTATTTATGGTTTCTTTCATATCAACTACAATTATCCATAATACACCATGTATCTCTATCTACGGTATTAACCATAGGTAACATCCAATCAAACAAGATCTTAACCTATGACCTTTACTGACATTATATCCATAGATAATATACTTTATCTATTCTATCGATTCTATCCATTCTATGACTGACATTTAACTTGATGAGAGTTGATAAGGTGATAAGAACCTGATTTCTACCACATCCGTACTAACCTGTGACCTTCATTATCATTATCTCCCGGTATCCTCTAAAGAATCTTCCTGGTCCTGTCCATTCAAGTAAGTGTGACGTGTGTAGTTTGTGCATTGTGGAGCAGATAATCGTGAACTGATACACTGGTTAAATTTACGTTAACTGATTAATTATTTTGTATTTTATTAATAAATTTGTTAGTGAAATAAACCTTAAAATGTCTCTTAAAACAACAGCAAATGTATTAGGCAGGGGTGGTTTTAATGTAGTTTTTCAACGTGCAAGGTGAGTATATAACTTATTTTAGCGGTTTTTAATCGTTTTACGTAACATATTTTGATGCCAAATTGCTTACTAATATTAATTATTTATTATTAATGCAAACCTACCTCTTTTAATTTTGCTATCACAGAATTTCTACCTAATCGTTTTTTAATTTCTGGCTTGTTAATGATGTCAATAAATTTCTTCTTTTTTTATCTAACAAAATATAAATTACTACAATATAATACACTGCTGGTGAAACAGTTATTACATAAAATTGGTAATTTTCATTTTTAGTGTTATGTAAATTATCTTTAAATCACTAATTACTACACTTATTTGTTTATAAATACCATCACTTAAAATCACTTTTTTCAATATTATTAAATGCATTGCTTAAAAATCGTTTTTATAGTTTTTTTTCTGTTTTTTTACACTTTTCAATTTTGACCTTGGTAAAGGTCATACTCATTGAAATTTGTAATTTCTGTAGAAATTATTAAAAACTTGTTCTTGTTTTGTTGTAAAAGTGGTTTAATAAAGTTCATTGTTTCAGTTCATGGTGGTCAGGTGTCCCTATGGGACCACCTGATGCAATTCTGGGTGTCACAGAAGCTTACAAAAAGGATACAAATCCTAAAAAAATAAATTTAGGTGTAGGGGCATACCGAGACGACGAAGGAAAACCCTATGTGCTTCCCTCTGTCAGAAAAGCTGAAGAAAAATTAAGAAGCAAAAATCTTGATAAAGAATATGCACCAATTTCTGGGCCCCCAGAATTCTGTAAAAACAGCATATTGCTTGCTTTAGGGGAAGACTCAGAACATGTTAAAAACGGCCTTAATGCAACAGTGCAAGGTATTTCTGGAACAGGTTCTCTTAGAATAGGTGCAGCATTTTTGAATGCATTCTTCCCTGGACCTAAAGTTGTTTATGTACCAACTCCAACATGGGGAAATCATATTCCACTTTTTAAACACTCTGGACTTGACGTAAAATATTATAAATTTTACGATGCTAAAACTTGTGGTTTTGATTTTAATGGATGTTTAGATGATATTTCTGTAAGTATTTATGAGGAATGGAAAGTTTGATGATATATATTATGAAAATAGAGCTTTACAGATAAGTTACCATTAGCAATAAATTAAAATATACCTTTTATCTGATTACCTGTACCACTTTTATCATTTTTGATTACAATGTTAATGAGAAAACACTTTATGTTAGAATTTAGCTGGAATTAGCAACTTACTATAAATGAAACAGAAATAATAAAAATACTTATGAATTAATTTACAAACTAAATAAACAAAATCTGCATAGTAAATAATAATTTTTAATAGCTTCCAGAAGGTTAAAAGCATGGGTGATCTTCCTCTGCAGCTAAAGGGATCATTTTTTTGGCATACCATTGATTGGAATACTGAAATATTACACCAACAGTTGCAGTGGATTACAAGAAAAAAAGATATTGTTTACAATTATTCTTTTAACTCATAAAACTATTGAATATGTTTTAATTAAAAAAAAAGCCTATTTTATATATAACGGGAGTATTTAAAGGGAAAAATTGAGTATAAAATCGGATAACAAAACAAGGATGACATGACATGCGTCAAAAAAAATGAGACCTATACATTCAGGCCTAATTATCCCATACTTACCCTTCTCAATAGACAATGTATTTATATATATATATATATCTAGCTTTTGAATTTGATTCNCTTTCAGAAAATACCTGAAAAGTCTATCATCCTTTTACATGCATGTGCACATAATCCTACAGGTGTTGATCCAAGACCCGAACAATGGCAAGAGCTTTCAAATTTGATAAAGAAACGTAAACTTTTTCCCTTCTTTGATATGGCTTATCAAGGATTCGCCTCTGGTGACACTAGCAGAGATGCTCAGGCTGTCAGTTTACTATTAAATTAATTTGTAATACAATTTTTTACTGTTTCAATAATTAATTATAGGTTCGTCTTTTTTTGAAAGAAGGACATCAAATTGTTTTGGCTCAGAGTTATGCTAAAAACATGGGTTTGTACGGTGAAAGAGCAGGAGCTTTTTCTGTGATTACCGACGATAAGGAAGAAGCCGCAAAAATTATGTCCCAAATTAAAATTATCATTCGACCCATGTATTCAAATCCACCCATCAATGGAGCTCGTATTGTAAATGAAATTTTAAGCGACCCTTCATTGAAGAAAGATTGGTAATTTTTTTGTAATTAATAAATCAGTATTTTCTCTCCACTAACTAACTAGAGTGTGAAACTCGAAATCGGTTTTTGAATTGCTTGCTTACGTACTTTTATAAGTTAAAAAAAACAATATATAAAAGTTTTTTTCTCAACTTTTTTATATAACTTATACAACATATTTTCGTAACCGAAATACGTAGTTTGGCTGAAATTTATTTTTAACTAATTCCATGTTTATGACGACACAAAGTATTTTGAGAAATTTTGACATGTGCTTTTGACGTAGCAAAAAAAGCGTGAGAATAAGCGTAAATCGTTATTTACTCGATGTCGTAATTCACTGTATTATTTATTTAACATTGTTTTGTTGATGTATTTCTTTTTTCTGTTATAATCTTGTGTTTTAACACTTTTACATACTTTTTTTAGGCTTGGTGAAGTTAAAGGAATGGCTGACAGAATTATTTCTGTTCGGCAAAAATTACGTCAAAATTTGGAAAAAGAGGGTTCTACACACAACTGGCAGCACGTTACAGATCAAATAGGAATGTTCTGTTTTACTGGCATGAAACCTGAACAGGTAAACTTTTAAATTCACAAAATAAAATTCAGCAAAATTTCCACACTACTGCTTATTCGAATTTTCTTCTTCTTGCAAGAAAATTGAAAAACAACAAAAGAGGCGTAATAAACAGATTTTTAAATTTAAAAAACATATATTTTTGGTTAGATTGGGTTAGGTTACGTTGGTTTATTAAAGAAATTAACGTAGTCAATGTTACCTTAAGCAAATTAATTAATTGAATTTCAAAACAGCTAATTTTTTCATGTGACTTTCATAATTGAGCAAGTTTAGATCATTTCTGAAAAAGTTATGTTTTACAAATAGCTGCAGTATGGAGGTTACTATTTATTTTACTTTACTTATTCTGTTGGTGGAATAATGCTTCATTTATAAAGTTGTATTTGTCGCATTTGATACAAAAGTTGTAAATTTTACGATATTGGTTATTACGTATTATTTTTAAAAAAGTAATTTTATGTTTTTCAACCTTAAATTTTACGATATTGGTTATTACGTATTATTTTTAAAAAAAGTAATTTTATGTTTTTCAACCTTACACTATATCGAAATTTTTAAATTTTATTTCAATAATATTAGATTTAATTTTAAGGTGGAGAGACTTACAAAAGAGTTCAGTATATATCTTACGAAAGATGGTCGTATTTCCATGGCTGGAGTGACCTCCCGCAATGTCGACTACCTCGCTCATGCAATGCACCAAGTCACAAAATAAAAGGTGAATGATGTTATTCATTCACAAACCCATTAAAATTGCAAATGTCTTATTAGTTGGGGTATAAACTTAATGTTTAATAGAGTACAAAATTCTTTAAGCATAGTATAAGTACAAAATAATCTAAATACATATGTATCTGAACTACTATAAACATTGCACTTTTAAATCTATGGAAAATTTAATTTTACTGTTTTTATATTTACTGGAAGTTTTAAAGTTAATTCAATATGGTGCGTTTGTTATTAATTGAAGTATCAAAATTTGAATTTTGTACCCTGTTAATAAAATTTAGTTTACGCCTGCAATTTTAGAAAAATTATCGATAGATGAAATTATTGATGAAGATGCTGTTATATTAATTCGCTTTTAGCATTTAAAAATCTAGCAAAAACTGTGATCAAACGTTTCTGTTATACAATTTTATTTTTTCAGATGACTTTATTGTACCGTTTTATTTTTTGCATTTTCTATTGTTTCAGTATTACGAATTTTGTTTATTTCTATTTACCCACTTTGTTCGCTGTTTATAAAACTATACTTTCGAAAAATAAATTTCGGTCTATTAAGTGATTTTTCTTTCATTTCATCCCTTGATAGGGCGCATTTCCGTGTGAGCATTCTGTAATTTTTTCAATTCATAGAAAGTACAGATTAGTTTAAAAAAATTTAATTGGCCAAAATATGATTTCTCTCTTTTTTGTAAAAATATTGAGATAAGATGTTAAAACATACCTCCATTGATAAGCGAGAATATGCAAATTAGTGAGTTGAATCAGCTTATCTAAGAAAAATAAACCTATAAAACAGTTTTTCTCAATGATAGTGTGAGAGCTGCCTGAAGAGAACTCCCAACAAAAATATGAAATTCGGTTTAACCTTGGATAAATCACCGTATTCATTAAATACTTTTTCTTTTTAATATTTGGATTTCATGCCAGATCGAAGTATGCAAATTTCGTCGTGTATATTTTTTTTATTTTTGTATTTACATACTCTTTGATTTATAAATAAATTAGAGTATGTTACTTACAAAATTAAGAGTTGAGGATTTATTATTTTTTTAAAAAACGTATTTATTTACATTTTCGTCTTTAGCAAAATGAGAAGCATGTACAGCTTTACAAGTTTACTATAAATATAAATTACTCTAAAATAAATAACCGATGAACCATTTTAAACATTTAAGGATAATGTACATTTTCTAAAGAAATAAAACCAATTGGCTGTTTTTCATGTTATAAATAATCGAACTGTCGTCATTATCAGAAGAATATTTACATAAACCGGAAAAAAGAAAAGAAATAATAGAACACTTTACAAAAGGAAGTTTTTCAAATTTTATATAAATTTTGTAATGTAAGATTATTCAAGGGTGAGTAGTTAAAAAAAGAAACATAAATGTAAGAGAACAACCAACGGTACAACAACCTATCTCTTACCTTTTATCAATCAAATCTGTGTCTTGTACGAATGTTTTTATCCTATGTGGTGTCTCCTTTTTTGGGGACTTGAAAAGTCTCAACGTATATTTGTTTGAATTTTGGCGCAATTATTTTCAGTCGCTATCTCTAACTCGCCGAATTCCATACTGGATTTCTGACTGTTGTCTTCAAAATTGATAAGGTGCATTGAAGAGTTTCTTTCTTCTTCATAAGGTTCAATATCCGCAGTTTTATCTGACAAGGAAAAGAGACAAAATTATATTGTACGTTTTCGAGTAAATTATAATCTGTTTTAAATCATAGATTACTTTTGCTTTCAAACTGAGAACTCTAAGCATTACAACATATTTCAATATAATAAATAATACATATAATAATTAGTTAAAAATACGAATAGTCAACAAAACAACTCGCTTATAAAACTATCATAAAAGGTGGTTAAAAATGCATTCACTACACATTTAAAGATAAAATAAAAATTGTTTTCTGTTACAAAAACTTTCCATGTTCTCACTTAAAATGAACTGATGAAATACAATTTTTCATGGTATTATAGAGATTGATTTATTTTTGAAATGAAATAATTAAATAAAATACCTATACACATATAATCTACGCAAACATGAACAAAATTTGCTTTTGACCGACTTTATGATTAAGTTTTATTGTATCGTCATAACTCCTAAATCGTGTTTTTCATGAAGATCAATATATAGTTAAAAGAACTAAATTAATTTGAAATATTTTCTTCTAAACCCACCTATAATAATGTAACTATCTTCAGAATCTTCGGCAATTATAGTGTCATCAATGATGTATTTATCTTGAACAACTACAGTTTCGTCTTCAATGATTTCCCCATCTTCTTGAATAATTTCTTCTCCTTCTTCTTCTATAATTTCACTCCCGTCGATCTCATGCTCTTCTAGGAAATGATTTTCATGAATGATTTCGTTCTGTAGCTCTTCATTTTGATCGACCACGTACTGTTCATGTACCATCCCGTTATCGTCGTGTAATTCGCTAGTTCCTAATTTAATGTTGCAGTGTTCCTCTTCGACCGTTCTATGGTCGACAGTTGTTTGAGGTATTTCAGTCAATTGTGTTATATGACTTTCAATATCATCCGGAAGGCTTTCCGATTCCATCGAAGTCTCCAAAACGATAGATTTATTGGGAACTTCTTCTTCCGAATTAGTGTTGCTTTGATGAAAGTCCGAATTAACGCTTACGTTATTGTTCACTACAAGACTGTTTGTTTGCAATTTTGACGGAACCATGAGAGGAGTTGTAAGGCTACTCTTGGTCACTGTTTGCGCATTACCCATGCTGTTCATGATATAAACGGGAGCTGACGTGGAATTAATGATAGGACCTTTGGTAGTAATTATTTTAGTGCCCAGGGGTAGCATACGGATGCCACCTTTTGCCGTAAGGGCTTGTAAATGAGACAGTGAGATTATCTTTTTGCCCCCTGTGTTCGTCTTGACGGACAATATTTTATGCTTGGGTATTGTGCTAGTATTACTCGTGTTAGCGACAGTATTCGTCACAGCTGTGAGATTCAATGTAACAGGAGTGGCATTTGTGGATACAATTTTGAATTTGTCGAAGTTCTTCATCGAAATATTCTTAACAAAAGGTATTGTAAGAGTGCGTTGTAGTATGCTTGGGGTGGTAATAGTCTGAGGGTTCGAAACAATGATAAGTTTTTGGCCGGTAGGTGTTTTTGCTGTGGTCTTACGAATAGGACACACTTTTACAGTTTTAGTACCCGCGTCATTAACTGAGGTGGGCGAAGAAATGTATTTGTAATTTTGCGATGTTGATTTCATATTATTGACGTTTTTAGGTGCTTCGTTTTCATTGGAACAACCAGGTTGTTGGGAGGCCACGTTGTTTTGCTCGGCTGCCAAAGCCTTTTGCGCCATGTAACTGTCGACTTCGTTCTTTATCATTTCGATCGTTTCTTCGGATTTTGGACTCGATAAACTTATGTTTTGTAAAATGTTTATTTTTGGACTGACACTAGAGGGGGGCTGAGGAGATAATGGTAATTTCTGCTGGTTGAAAGCCGGATTATACTTTTGGTGAATTGTCTGCTGAGTTCGCTGGTAACTCTTCTGTTCTTGCTCTTGCTGACGAAGTTTCAATTGTTGTTGCTCTTTCATCTTTGCTTTTGTTCTCTGTCTATAAACAGAAAACATTTATTTCTGTAAGAAATTTAGACGTAATATTAATACATTTTAAAGAGAATTACAAAAATAGTACTACATTATACACCTATCATCTCACATAAGAATTACTACCTCTTTTTACCTGTAAATTTGTTGAATTTTGCTCATTTTAGGAGCATTCATGAAGTGGCCAATTGAAGAGTTTTCAATACCATAAGAATTTTTACGTTTTTTACTCTCTTCAGTCTTTACGGTATCTGGCACACGAAACTGAACACTTTTACTGCTTTCAAGTATAGCATTTGTGGATTGAGAAAAAGATGAACCCCTTTTCCGTTCAGTGTAAGCAGGTAGAGGTAAAAGTTCATTATTTTTGCTAGCCTCATCAGCCACTTGATTTGCAATTGCTGAATAAGCTGTCTGAGGTACTGCTCTTGACAAGGGTGGAATAACACTACGCCCTTCTTGAATCCAATCTTCCCAAGTAGTTGCACTTCCAGAGACGCTAAATATAACAACAATAACATATAAATTGTAATTACAATACTACTGCCTATAGAAAAAGTTTTTATCAATCAATGTTTCGACCTTAAAATATTTTATTGTAAAAATTTTTAACAGTTTTTGGAACATTCAGTCTTATAGCGAAAAAAGTAATCTTCGAATATACAAGTCTTTTCTGTATTATAATAAACAAATATATACTTACTAATATGCTACAGTATTTAACCTTTCATCCAAAACAACCCTTTTAAGTTCTGACTTAAATCTTTCTTCAGATATGTGTAAAATATTACCAGCCTCTTTCATAAACTTCATTTTACTAGAATCGAGGGATCCTTGTGCTCTTAGTGCAGTCACAAGGCTAGAATAGGCTTCAAGTTCTGCAACAAGTAAAGATAACGCAAAATTTCTTTAAACCATTATACAGACCTAAAAATCTTAAAACCTTCCACGACTCGTCTTCCGTCATATCAACAAGTAAAGGAAACATTTTAACTACTTAATTCTTTATAAAAATATTACTTGACAAACTTTAACGTTATATTCTAGGTTAAGGATAGATCATTTTTCCAACCTTTGTGTACGTACGTTACCAAACTTGTCAAAAAAATGACCAAAAATATCTCACTTGAAGAAACATTAATGTAATTATAAATANGATAACTCCTTCTTCTTTCGGTATGAAAACCGCCGCATTAATTTCATCATTGCAACCTTCTAATTTTGCTACTAGTGATGGTTTATTCGTTGTCGAAAATCGGTCATTTGATTGTGTTGCTGGTTTTATTTCAGCTGCCATTTTTAACTTTTTTTCACGTTTCAAAACTGACAAAACACAACTGACAACATTATTTACACAAACAGCAACTAAGAAGGACGCAACTATAACAACACTCAAACACACTGCGACTGTAAATAATTAAATTGAATTTAATTAATTTATTCTCTTGTTTTCTCGTTTCTCATTCCTTCATTGATTGCCTTTGAAATTTAGGTAGATTTAGGCCAATTCCAGCCAATTCATTCTGTGGATCACTTTGGTTCTTATATACACAGAAAGTTGTCTTACAGTCTTAAAAGGGTCCGTATTCATAAATCATACTGAATCAATAGCAGGTCCTGTTATTATATTCAAAAATTTGTGTATTAGCCAATACACTTATTAAGCACATTTAACATTTTTAAACAAAGCATCATGTGTATAATGACTTAAATAGCAATTTAGTAAACAAAAAAGTGTTTTTTTTCCTTTTACATTTCTGTAAAAATAATGGGACATAATTACCCATTTCGTTCATGTCGTGTTTTACCTAACCTAACCATACTTTAATCAAAAAATGATTTTATGCGATAAATTAAGATTATGGGAGAAAAGGTTACAGCAATAAAAGATAATACGAGTGAAGTGAGAGTGGTTGTTTCCTTTTGATTGCAGGAATGGGAGTTATGTTAATTTCATAATAATCTACAATTGCAGTGTTTTAACCATGTTTTAACTTTCTCCAGCTGTATATGTTCTCAGCAGGGTATGAAATGTCGAGCGCGAGCGACACCTAAGTTTACCCACACTGTCGTGTACAAATCACATTCCAGTAGGATTAAGAACTTCTGTAAGATTTAGAAGTCTACATTGAAAAGTGCAGAAATATCCCAAATTTTTATTAATCGATCCTGTCCTACTGTCAATAAATGTCTACTACATTCGTCGACGTTCATGTACACTATGCTATGTTTAGCATCGTGAAATGTTGCTAAAGAAGGACGCCTATAAAAAAAAAATAAGATACAATTCTGATCCTTAGAGTTTCATAACTAAAAAGCTCAACAAAAATATGTTTTTTAGTGAAAAATGTTTTATTATATCAATCAACAACTGTTGATTCAAATAATAAAACCATTTGACTGGCTTAGTTTTTTATCTATAATTGGGATTCAATCAAATAACAAAACAACAAATTACTTACTCTTTATCACGTAACGCAATATGACACGGATCGCAGACCCTGACAGCAAATTCAAAACCCATAGATGGTATTGTTAATCTACCAGAGGAACACTTGTCGCAAACGGCCTTTCCACAGTGACGGCAATGGTGTTGTCGTAGTCCTAATTGTCGCTGGTCCATCATGGCACGCAAATTCCAAAAAAATGGTCTATTACACAACTGGCATGAATCAGACTCTACCCATTCAGGCGTCTCTTGCCTTGCTTTTTCCATGTCCCAGAATACTAACACGTTGTCTTCTCCACCGCTAAGTAAATAATTTGTGGAACGCAGGAAACAAAGGGCAGAGACCTACACCCAAAAACTGAAATTAGTCATTTAACTTCAAGTGTTATAAAAATACTAAAATTACAAAAAGAATATTTATAGTTAAGGTCATCTTGGGGATCCCTGCATTTTTCTATTTCTTTATAAGTTTAAAGCTACAGACCTTTCCATGGTGCCCTTGCAATTCATATGCGGTGCCCTCTCCTCCGCCAATATCCCATACTATGATTGTTTGATCAAAGGATCCACTAAAGAGTGTTTCTCTTTCACAATCCCAAGCCAAAGTACGAATGGAGCCCGAATGACCTTTCAATACTGTAACTAGCTTCGCCCCCGAATTATCTAACTTCAACATAGTTATATGACCAGCCCAATCTCCAATAAAAGCGTGTTTTGTGTCAACATCAAATCTATTACATGATTAAAGAATAATAACTTTGGTTTTACTTTGACCTTACGCAAATTAAATTTTTTTTTATTTATCATTAANTACTCAGTAATTTTAAGTTGTTTATCAAAAATTATTGTATACTATTGTAAATTATTGTAATAAAAATATTCCGTTTCAAAATTAGTATTGGATTGATCGAGTTGAACAGATTGTCTATAATCTATGCAACACAGTATACACATTGTCTGTTTGGGTTGCATACACCCTATTTACTTTAAACTGCAGAAAGTCTCGGTGTCAGTTAATAAAAATTTGCATTTTTTTTCGTTTTCATAAAAAGTTAAAAAACAACCTTTACGATGAGAATTCATTATAATTTATGCCTGTATCTGTATTCTTATCCATAAATATTATCTAAACAACACTAATATTTATATTAAATTCACATTGATTCACAAACTTTACAAAACATATTTTTTCATTGGAAAAGATTCAAAAATGGAACGGCCGAAATTCGTATCTAAGATATGAGGGTTGAGTGAAGTATTATATAAAAAATCCGTTGCTTTTTTCTCATTTGTACAAATATTGTGCTGTTCCGTTTATTTCAATACAGTTAATTAGAAATGCTTTCAAAATTATTAATGTGAACATCCTTAATAAGGCACGAAATCCTTGTACAACAATTCATTAACTATAAAATAATTGAATAAAAAAGGGGAATTGATTTAAAATTAGTCAAAATCAACTCAACGCTATTTTTATTGATAAAAACAATGATAAAATAAAGACAATATAATTTTGAAACTTATAATTATATAAATATAGTAGTATTAGATATTTTATTTTTACATAAAAATTATAGCACACTGTCGTGTACAAATCACATTCCAGTAGGATTAAGAACTTCTGTAAGATTTAGAAGTCTACATTGAAAAGTGCAGAAATATCCCAAATTTTTATTAATCGATCCTGTCCTACTGTCAATAAATGTCTACTACATTCGTCGACGTTCATGTACACTATGCTATGTTTAGCATCGTGAAATGTTGCTAAAGAAGGACGCCTATAAAAAAAAAATAAGATACAATTCTGATCCTTAGAGTTTCATAACTAAAAAGCTCAACAAAAATATGTTTTTTAGTGAAAAATGTTTTATTATATCAATCAACAACTGTTGATTCAAATAATAAAACCATTTGACTGGCTTAGTTTTTTATCTATAATTGGGATTCAATCAAATAACAAAACAACAAATTACTTACTCTTTATCACGTAACGCAATATGACACGGATCGCAGACCCTGACAGCAAATTCAAAACCCATAGATGGTATTGTTAATCTACCAGAGGAACACTTGTCGCAAACGGCCTTTCCACAGTGACGGCAATGGTGTTGTCGTAGTCCTAATTGTCGCTGGTCCATCATGGCACGCAAATTCCAAAAAAATGGTCTATTACACAACTGGCATGAATCAGACTCTACCCATTCAGGCGTCTCTTGCCTTGCTTTTTCCATGTCCCAGAATACTAACACGTTGTCTTCTCCACCGCTAAGTAAATAATTTGTGGAACGCAGGAAACAAAGGGCAGAGACCTACACCCAAAAACTGAAATTAGTCATTTAACTTCAAGTGTTATAAAAATACTAAAATTACAAAAAGAATATTTATAGTTAAGGTCATCTTGGGGATCCCTGCATTTTTCTATTTCTTTATAAGTTTAAAGCTACAGACCTTTCCATGGTGCCCTTGCAATTCATATGCGGTGCCCTCTCCTCCGCCAATATCCCATACTATGATTGTTTGATCAAAGGATCCACTAAAGAGTGTTTCTCTTTCACAATCCCAAGCCAAAGTACGAATGGAGCCCGAATGACCTTTCAATACTGTAACTAGCTTCGCCCCCGAATTATCTAACTTCAACATAGTTATATGACCCAGTATTACGA